CCATAGTACCTGTAGAGACAGAAGACAGAGGATCAGTTGGGCATGGAGTCCTTCAGATCTCCTGATGTATCATTTCCACAGTCATTTGAGGCCAAGATGAAGAGAGAGACCCTAATCCATGTGAGTGACAGTATCTGTACTTATTTCCCTGGATGGTAGCCTAAACCACCAAACTGAATTTAGGGTGTTGTATGATAAAGAATTTGTCTAGTCTTTGTTCTGGGCTTCTGGGAGGGAGTTTCTCAATGCTTGGAATTTTATGAATGAGAGGATTGCATTTGTGATTCTTGGTGGACCCTTGGATCACATATGAATTTATGTTAAAGAGATGACTCAGGATGGGACAGGTCAAGACCAAACATGTGATTAGAGAATTGGGACTTTGAGCTCTAGGAAGTGGAGGAGGGACTGGATATTGAGTTCAGTCACATGATCAATGATTCAATCAATCGTGCCTATGTGATGAAATCCCAAGGAAAACTCAGTGGCATTTCCTAGTTGGTGAACATATCAACATGCCAGGAGATTGATGTATTTTAATTCTGGAAGGAAAAAGCATGGAACCTCTGTGTTCAGGATCCTCCCAGACTTCACTCTATGTGTCTCTTCATTTGTCTAGATCTGATTTTTTTTTTTTATAATAAAACTGTACTAGTGAGTATAGGGCTTTCCTGAGTTCTGTGAGCTGTTCTAGCAAATTCTGAGGGGGTTCTTGGGAATTCTCCAGATTTGTAGGCTGTTCATCAGAAGTGTGGGTGGTCTGGGGATCCCTGAACCAGTGCCTCCCTTTTAAAGTGAAGATAGTCTTTTTGGGGACTATGCCCTTCACCTTTGGGGTCTGATCCCAACTCTGGATGGTTAGCATTGTGCAATTGTATTGCACTATAGGTAAGGGTATTGCCTGTACAGTGTGGAATGCTCTGCTCCTTTAGCAGCTAAAGCCTTGGGAAAGATTGGGTGTGTACTAGCTGAATTCTTTTAGAGCAGAATTACTTCTATACTGTTCAGTTTTGGTGATCCATTTTTGTGTGTGTGTGTAAATCCTGAATGTCCCGAAGGAGTTAGCCACTACACAGCCCTCAAATCTGTCTCAAAACTCAGAGTAGTAGAGTTGCATGCTAGACATACTATAGAGAGCCAACACCGGAGTTCAATTCAATTGGATTTAATCCAAACACTTACCGATCACTATTATGTGCCTGACATGAATAAGAAGTGTGGAAGAAAAGGGTGGTAATACAAATAACTAGTTGTTGCTTCTGAAGAGTTTACAGTGAAGTGGAAAATAACCCACAAATGTAATAAATGTAATAGTACTTATAAATTATCATTTAGTACTTGTATAAATGCATATGGAAAGGGGTAGAAAGTATTGATTTTGGCCAAGGGTGAGGGGACAGGGAAAGCTTGACAGAGACGATAGCAGTCTTAGAACTTCACACAGAGTTGAACTGAACTGTTTATGAATACCACTTAGCACAGTGCCTGAAACGTGGTAGGAGCATTATATGTTTTGAATGAAAGTATGAATGGATAAATGAAAAAAAAAATAACAAGACAAAGAGTTAAGCAGATTTCTAACTAGCTCTTCTCCCCAGCAACCTGGTCACTGTGAGAGGAACAAAGTGTCCCCTCATTCTAATCCTGATACCATAGAAAAGACAGTACAATTGATTGCTGACATTTAAAATTTTGATTGTCTGAATTCTAGCTCCTTCTAGGACTTGAGGACTCATGTAGCCAAATTTCCTAGGTTGATGGGTGAGAGATCTGAGCCCAGAGGGAAGAGGCATCGCCAAGTTCACCTGGCGCATTGGTGACTGAGCTGCACACAGAACTCAGGTTTCTACGGCTCAGTCTGGGGCTTTTTTTGCTCGACAGGAATAGCTGCTACACAGGCTTTCAGCACTGCCCCTCACCCGTGTTGTCTTCAGCTGGCTCTTTCTCTATTCCTCTCAGAAATAATTCTAAACTCCAACGTCTCTTCTAGTCCCCCACTCAGTCATCACCAGCTCCATTTCAGCAGGTCACATTGCTGCCCACTTAGTTCATTGAAAACACAGATGCTGTAATGGGTCTTTCTTCTGCAGCTTCTTTTCCATCCACAAGCCTCTCCAAGGCTGGAGCCATTGCACTTCTTCCTCCTAGTCTCAGAGGGTGAGACTGCCTTGTGCTGTGTCCTTGATCCCACTCTTGCAGCCTTTCAGTGTCAGTTCCAGGGCCTCCCTCTACTCACTGTCTTCTCCTTTAGCTTGGAAATGTGCTCAAGTTTCTTTCACACACACGCAAATTTCTTCTTAGAGTCTGCTACTTCTCCACTTACCACTCAGCCTCTCCAGCCTTCTCATCCAAACTTCTTTAAAGAACATTTTACACTTGCTGCTCTTTCCCCACCTTGCCCTCCACCTTCTACTCATTTCCATTCGGCTTCCACTCACACTACCTCACTTAAACTCTTTGAAGTCATCCATGACCTTTGTTTTGCCAAATCCCACAGACTTGAACTTTTAAATATATTCTTCTATCAGTGGATGTATCTTTAGCATTTCATACTCTTGGTGATTCTCTCCTTCTGGAAATTCTCTACTCTCTTGGTTTCTATGGAATTGCACTCACCAATTACATCAGTTCTTTGATCATTCCTTTATCTCTTTCCTGACATTTTTTTTTCTCTAACTTTCCTTAACAGTGATATCCTCACAGTTCCATCATCAATCTCCTCTTCCTCACATCTCACATAATACTTGAATGATGTCAACAACTTTAAATGTCTAAAGTCCATATTCCAGGCATCGACCCAGTTCATCCACTTCCTACTGTATTTGCAAATGAATATTCGTACAAGTACCCTATATTGCATGTTATACTCAGTCTAGAAATGTTGAAACTTATCACTTCAATCAGACTATGAGCTCATGGGGGCAGGTTATTATTTACCTTTTAGTTAGTTAGTTAGTTAGGTCGCTCAGTCGTGTCCGACTCTTTGCGACCCCATGGACTGTAGCCCACCAGACTCCTCCATCCATTGGATTCTCCAGGCAAGAATACTGGAGTGGGTTGCCATTTCCTTCTCCAGGGGGTCTTCCTGACCCAGGAATCAAACCCGGGTCTCCCGCATTGCAGGCAGATGCTTTAACCTCTGAGCCACCATATTCTCTTTATAGCCTGATACATACTAGGATCGACCTCACGCATATTTGTTGACCAGCTGACCAACCAAGTGAGTGAATGCTCTATGAGTCTACTCTTAGCTGGAGTTCTGAGTTAAGGAATAGAAACTGTTTCTCTTCAGGCTCCTGGCCTGTGCCCTTTGGGCTACATTCAAACCTAAGATGGCGGCATCCGGGTCCTCTCTCAAGTCAGTAAGTCCTCTGTTTTGATTTCTTAAGAGACAAGCACTCCACCTCTCCCATGGAACACTGCTTCTCTCTAGCAAATAAACTTCATTTTTGCCCTTCCTTCTTTGAACTTTAGGGTGACATCTCAAGGTTAGGGGATCCCAATACTCTTGCCCCCCTGGTGATGGGCTTCTTCCCTTGAGCCCTTCTCTGGACTGTCAGACCCCCTAGCTAGCCCTTACCTTGAAGAAGAGTGACAGCCAGGATGAGGACAGCCAGACGCTTCCCCTGCTCCATATCCATCTCTGTTCTCCGCAGAAGCACAGAGCGGCCCCCAGCAGCCAGCCAGCCAGCTTGTGCTAGCAGCTAGCCTGGCCCCGCCCAGCATCCTTAGGGCTGAGGCCCCTGTGAGCCTCCACCCTCGGCGGCTAGTGTGGGCAGGGTGGGGGCAGGGCTCAGGAGGGCTGCAGGTGCAGACGCCTCTGACTTTCCGTTGGGGAGAGGAGTGTGGGAGGTGGAGGGGAGGGAGCGGGACAGAGTGCTGGATTTCCATCTCAGAGACTCAAGCGCCCTTGGGTGCGGGGTGGGAGGTGGCCTGGGCCCCTTTCTTCATGAGGACGATAAACACTTCCGCCATCATCTGTTACTTGGAGCTCAGCCAGTTGTTGCCTGTTGCTAGCTGTTGTTGTTAGAACTGATGAACTTAGCTGGGAACCCTTAGGTGCTTAGGGCTGGAGCTCTGAACAGAGAGCCACCTCAGTCCAGGGATTTTTTTTCACTGCTCTTCGAAGATGAGATCATCAAAGTGGTGCCTGCCTGGAAAGGAATAGGTAGGATTATTCCTCCAGGACAGGAAATGCATTTCTAGGGACAGGGGCCTCAGCTGAATTCCCAGGATCTCAGGCCCCTCAGCCAGTTAGCCAGTGAATCAACAAAAACATACAGAGCTCTCGTCAGGTGTTTGGAAAACAGAAGCCAGCAATGCATGTAGAATCTCTACCCTTGGGTAAAGTATGGTCTAACTGCAGCAGTGTAGACAGTTTTGGATCTCCATATCCCAAGCGGAAAAACACCATTTGTCTCCTGGGGAAGCTCAATTGTGCCTGCGACTTAATCATATTGCTATTATTATTTTTAACATGTATTTATTTATTTGGCTGCACAGGTCTTAGTTGCAGCACGTGGAATCTTTGGTCTTCTTCGTGGCCTGTGAACTCTTAGCTGTGGTGTGTGGGATCTAGTTCCCTGACCAGGGACTGAACCCAGGCCCCCTGCATTGGGAGTCTTAGCCACTGGGCCATAAGAGAAGTCCCAATTATATTGTTATTAATAACTCTTACTTAGCACATGTGAAGTGTCAGTATTAAGTGTTAATTGCTCAGTCATGTCCGACTCTTTGCAGCCCCACGAACTGATGTCCTCCATGCTTCTCTGTATATGAGGTTCTCCAAGCAAGAATACTGGATATGGATTGCCATTCCCTTCTCTGGAGGATCTTCCCGACCCAGGGATTGAACCTAGGTCTCCTGCATTGCAGGCAGATTCTTTACTGTTTGGGCTACAGGGAAGTCCTATGAAGTGTCAGGCACCATACAAACATTCTGTTTGAATTATTTTCATCATACTGAGGGAGTTAGTCTCTGGAGAATTCTGTGACTGGCACAGACCCAGCAGGTAGACAGTATTGGAGCCAGGATGCAAATCTCTCATTATTGGGCCCCTAAAGGCCAACCTCCCGCTGATAAGAAGCTACTTAGTCTGGTACCCCAGGAGGCCCAAGAAGGAGCTTGGTCAGGGTCCCAAGAAAGACCAGAAAAGGGAGGAACCTAGCTGGTATGGCTTATAGAATGGGATTCACAGCTTCTATCAAGGGTTTTGAGAAGTGGCAGTTTTCAGATGGTGAGTAAATGTAATCATGTTGCTGACAGGAACTGAGTTTCTTATTTTTCGTCAGCAACTCAAGAAAGGACACTCTGAATCTCCTACTTCCTAGAAGTCCCGGCATCCTTTTCCATAGCCTCTGCTTCCAGCTTCTACCCCACCCCCACACTCCATACTCTGAGAGAGAGCGATTTGCAGCTGCTTCTTTCCTACCCCACCCCCAGCCTACCTCTACCCCAGCCGCTCCTGTCACCAACAGCAGACAGAGAAATAGGCGTTTTCTAGTCCCTCCCCCACCCTTTACTTTTTCCGGGTACCCGCGAGTCAGTTGGGGAAAGGCAGCTTTAACCCCGGCTGATAGTCTGTGGTCTGTGTCTGTCTCCTGGATGAGTTCTGCTGGGAGATGGAGCACAGCAGGTTTCTCTCTGGCCTGATACTGGCTGCCCTTCTCTCCCAAGGTAAGGCTTCTTCGAGGGCACCGGGGCATCGTGGGGAAGGGACCTGGGAGGGACATGACCACCTGGAATGAGGTCCATTTGAAAGCGCCTCAGTACACCAGTGTTGTCAAGGAGGGCCGTGTTGGGATGTAGCACAGGGTCTGGGAAGCACAGGCTCTTGGCTTTGACTGACTCTAGCTAGGGGGGGCATCTTGGCCTTCAGTATCTCTCTAAAGACCTCAGGCCAGAGATCTATAGGAAGTTTTGTAGTAGGTGTGCGCCTGAGCCTAGGGCTGGTAATGGGAGCTTTGTTCCATCTAGGGTAGATAGCCTCCGGGGTCCAGGACTCCAGGTCATGTGGACACCATTACATCACCACCTGGGGCCATGGCCCGGCACTCAGGGAAATGCTTTAAGAGAAGTTCAATTGCGGCTGAGCAGGAGTGAGGGCAGATTTGGGGTGATAGAATGACGCACTCAGCCTAGTTTGCATGGTTTTAAAACTGAGAGTCTGATGTTCCAGGAATTCCCTCAGTTCCAGGCAAACCGGGATGAGTGGTTACCCTAGTAGTCAGCTTCTTTGGGAGAGTCAGGATTTCCACTGGAAATGGATCCCCAAGGAAGACATGAGTGTATGATGTGGAGCATCTGATGTACATGTGTCTCCCTGAGAATATATGCATGCTTTCTCGACAGGCACAAGGAATGGCTCTGTGGGGGATTTTCTAAAAGATGCTCTTCTATCCAAATTGGTAACTGACTATGAATCTCAGGGACAATGTAGATTCCACTTTTCCCTGGGATTGGAGATATACATTCCAGTGCCTCTGTGGGCTGTGGAGATGTTCTTAGTCAATAGCAATTCAGTGGTCCTAGAAAGATGCTGTGCATACATCCAGCCCTTGACTTGACTTGACTTGTGTGGAGCCCCAAGAAAGGATTCAATTAAAAAAAGTTTTTTTCTGACCCTCTCCCCCAAGCATGGGTAGAACAACTAGAAATCTTTACATGGGATTTGCCTTAGGTCCCCTTTTGGACCATTGGAATGGTAATTCATATTAGCTTCCCTCCTACCCCCAGCCATCACTGGCCCTGGAAAAGGCTTTGGTAGTACCATTCTCTGGGCAGTGGTTGACCATGAGTGAGGAGGAGGGAAAGAGGATGAGAAGTTGATGATGGAGTGTGGCAGGTGGCTAGGAAGTAGAATTAGAAGTTTTCTTAGAGAAAAAAAATGTGGACATCTCCAATTGAGAACCATTCTTCTGCCTTTCAATATCTCTTGGGTGTTTTAGCATTCTGGGCTCCCTTCCTACTTCTATTCAGTGATATGAACACATTTCCATGAAGGTTTTGGATTAACCCAACTCCATGATTTTCTTTTTTGCTCTGTGTTCATCAGGGCCTGTCCTCTATTTGGATTGCATCATCATGTCCTCTCTTTTTTTAATTGGAGTATAATTTCTTTACAATGCTGTGTTAGTTTCTGTTGTATGATGAAGTGAATCAGCTATATGCCTATATATGTCCCCTCCCTCTTGGCCTTCCCTACCACCCCCCACTCACTGTGTCCTTCTTGGTCTCTGCAGTTTGTGGGGTACCTGCTGAAGCCTTTCTCTTGTGACTTCGGTCTCTCTCAGCAGAAACCTTGAACTGTTCTAGACTTGGATAGTGGTCCTTCTTAAGTAATGAGCCTCAGCAGAACAGTGGTCTGGTTGGTGCAGACTAAAGAGCTTGCTCCAATTGTGGTATTTTTTTTTCCTTAGTGAATCCTGGCGGTCTAAAACTGACGGAAATAGAGGACAAAGTAATTTTGAAATGCAATTCCAGCATCACAGTGCTACAAGGAACAGCAGGACAGGAGCTGTCAGGCAATAAAAGTCTGGACTTAGGAAAACGTATCCAGGACCCAAGAGGAATGTATCAGTGCGGCAGTGAAAACGCCAAATCTACTCTGCAAGTATACTTTCGAAGTATGTGCTTCCAGGATCCTTTGGGGGTGGAATAGGTGGGGGCATCTGGACATGAGAACTTCCTAGCTGGAGGGAGCTCTAGTGCACCGATTTGTGCTCTCAACAAACTGGCCTGCTCTTGTAAGGGTATGAGCCAGATTTTGAAGCCTTGAGTGGGAAAGAGCTTAATGGTAAAAGAGCAATAGTAGTCTTGTGACCCAAGCAGTAGGGGCTTGGTCTGGAGCCTGGTTGGCTTACTGCCTTTTTTAAGCCTACAAACCTGAGACTACTTCTTGGACTGAAGGTTAAAGGTGGATGTAGCAATGCTCTTGGCAGGCTTTTTTCCAAGTTTGGGTCTTGATATGAGAGCTCCTGGGGCTGCCCTAAGAGGCAGAGATGGTTCCCTGATCTTGAAGACCCGCCCCTTCTCTTCCGGCCTCGCTTCCCCCACAGTGTGCCAGAACTGTGTGGAGCTGGACTCGGCCACCCTGGCAGGCATCGTCATCACTGACATCATTGCCACTGTACTCCTTGCTTTGGGTGTCTACTGCTTTGCTGGACATGAGACTGGAAGATTCTCCAGGGGTAGGTAGAAGGGACAGACCATGTGTATGTTGTGGCTGTGTGTGTGTACCTGCTAAGGAATTGGGCTGGCATTGGGTTGTGCCTCATCTGGGCTTCACCATTGCAATCTCCTAAGGACTCCTATAACTGGTTACTGACAGAACTTGGGTGCCCACAAAGCTCATGCAGGCTTCTGAGGGTGTTTGTAGCTGCGGTCTCCCGGCAGCATTCATGGGCCTCACTGTGCCACCTCTTTGGCCCTTGCTGACTGTCTTTCTCTGGGTCTTCTAGCTGCTGACACTCAAGTTCTGATGGGGAATGACCAGCTCTATCAGGTGAGTCCTGAGGGGAGAAAGATGAGAATGGGGGAAGGAGCGAGTGGGAATGGAGAGCCTGACAGTATGTTTAAGTGTGTGTGTGTGTGTGTGTGTGTGTGTGTGTGTGAAGGTCCTAGTGGGGAATTCATCACTGGAGAGTCCCATGAGCTCTCATCTCTGGGTTCTGCTGGGGTTCCCCATGGGAGAGTTCTGACCCTGCCTCTCTGTTCCCCTTTCTCATCTCTTAGCCCCTTCGAGAACGCAATGATGCTCAGTACAGCCGTCTTGGTGATAAGTGGGCTCGGAACAAATGAACCTGAGGCTGGTGGCTTCTAGGCACATCAGTTATCAACTGGACCATCTCTCCTTGCTCAGTCAAGAAAGATGTCCTCCTCTGCTTAGCAGGTGCCTGGATTTTTGAAGGTTCCTGGGCATGGCATGGCAGTGCTGCCCACCTGTGTCCTTCCTTCATGACTTCCGTCCTCTGCCCGCCATGGACTGTGTGATGGGTGACCTCTCACCATACCCTGGCCCATTGGTGTTTCTGTCCCACTGGTGGGCTCCCTGGATGCAGGACCAGCCTGCTGCACTCTCTTGGCTCCAGTCCCCTGTTACAATCCTTCTACAGCTTTGACTTCCTCACCACAGGCGAGGGTGGGCTGCTGTCTTTATGTACACAGCCACAAAGAAGTTTCCATGACATCACAAGCGGAGGTAGCAGAGACATCGAGGGCCCTGGGGAATCACTTCTAATCAAGGCTCTGAGAATGTGTAGGACAAAGTCCCGCTTCTGCTAAGTGGCTGGCCCTGGCTTTATGATCCCTGTGGACTGGTAGGCACCAACTATACGGAGGTTTCAGTCAAGGCCTCTTTAGTACCCATTTCCCTGTATAGAAGGTACCATTCTGTTTTCTTTCCCCAGAACCTGTCCCTGCTCCGCCCTGCCTTCTGCATAATAAACTGGCATCAGAACCTCTTCATCAGTTAAAACATATGATCTTTTTCCACCCACTTGGAAAGCTGGAGTCTGAGACTGGGTGGGGAATTGGGATATTTTCAATAGACGTCATCTTTAGTCATTGGGTTAGTATTTGTTCTGAAACTTTGGGATTTATTTTAAAAATACAGTGACTTCCCTGGCAGTCCAGTGGTTAAGATTCTGCGCTTCCAATGCAGGGGGCCTCGGTTCAATCCCTGGTTGGGAAACTAAGATCCTGCATACTGCAAAGCCAAAAAAAAAAATTTAAGCACAACTTGAAAAAAAAAAAAAATACACACTTGGATCCCACTTGGGAACATGCTTGGGTCTCCAGGTAATTCTGAAGCAGCTCCAATTCAAAGACTCTCTGGTTTAGAGGAAGAATTGAAGCTACTTCTTATTTTGTGTCTTTTATGCCCATTCCTGTCTACCACGGGTGGGAAACCCGCTTTCTATTCTCTGTGTAAGAGTAATTCAAGGAACTTCAGGGCAGTTTAATGAGAGCGGGAGTTTCTTAGGCCGGGGTTCCCAAAAGAGAAAATTATTAACAACCACATAGCCAGAGATCTGGATAATTCTTCCCTATCTCCTTGAGATACATACAGACTCTGACTTTGTTAGGGACAGAATGAACTTCCGATTTACACATGCTTCATTCATGGTTATGAGTTATTCCTTCCCTTTATACCCTTCTGCTGCAGTCCTAGCCCTAGATCCCTCTTTTACACAGGATCCGTCCTCCCCGGGCAAGGCTTCCACGGCTTGCACTGCACCGATGCTCATGTCCTTCCCTTGCACTGCACACCTCCTGTGACCCTATGCTCCTCATATACCCTTACATCCCCCTCTACTACTCACCAGTTCTCAACATTTGCTGTACATTGGATCTCCCGCGGAGCTTTCGAAGTCCTGATGCCTGTGTGCCACCCTCAGAGAGTCTGATTATATTGTGCCTCAGGTGATTCAAATGTGAAGTCAGGGTTGAGAAACGCTGACCTTCACCTGAGCCCTTCTGGAAACTTGGGTCCCTTTAGCGGGCTCCCTTTTTTTGTGCTTTTAAAACATAGCTTTATTGAACTAAAGTGCGATGAATAAACTACATATATTTAAAGTGTGAAATTTCATAAGCTTTGGCATATGTATACATTTGTGAAACATCACCATGCTTGGTAAGTATGAACCTACCCAACACTCCAGACAGTATTCTTGTGACCTTTTGCATTCAGATTTTCCCTTAGCTGTTTATCCTCTAGGCAACTACTGAATAGCTTTCTGTCATTATAGATCAGTGTCCAATTTTCTAGAGTTTTATGTTAAGTGAAATAATATAACATATACCCCTTTTTGGTCTGGCTCCTTACATTCAGCATAATTATTTTGAGATTCATCATCTTGTGGCATCTATTAACAGCTCATTCCTTTCTAATGTCAGTAGTATTCCATTGAATGGATATACCACAAGCTGTTTATCCATTCACCCCTTGACTGTCTTTTGAATTGTTCTTTGTTTTGGCTATTACAAATTAAGTTTCTATGAACATTCATATATAAGTCATTATATAGGTCATACATACAAGGACATACACCCTTATTTCTATTGGATAAGTACTCAGGAGTGGAATGGCTGGGATAAAATTTTTAAAGAAAGTAGTCTAACTCTTCTCTTTCCAGTCTCATAGGAATTGGCTTCTCAGTTACTACAAAATGCCTACTGAGAATTTGATCGGGATTGGTTTGAATTTATTGATCAGTTTGGTGCGAACAGATATCCTAGTGATATGGAGTCTTCCAATCCATGAACACATCTTCTTTATAAATTAGAAGGCAGATCTCCTTTTTAAAAATAATATATATATATATTTTTTTGGCTGTCTTGGGTCTTTGCTGCTGCACGGGCTTTTCTCTCGTCCTCTAGTTATGTTGAGCAGGGGCTACTCTAGTTGCAGTGGCTTCTCCTGTTGCAGAGCACGGGCTGTAGGGTGTGAAGACTTCAGGAGCTGCGGCACGTGGGCTCTGTAGCTGCGGCTCCTGGGCTCTAAAGCACAGGCTCAAGAGTTGTGGTGGACGGGCTATGTTGCTCCGAGGCACATGGAACCTTCCTGGATCAGGGATCGGAGCCCTGTCTCCTGCATTGGCAGATTGACTCTTTACCACTGAGCCACCAGGGAAGCCCCCGTGAACACAGTTTTTGGTCAGATTTATCCCTAAGTGTTTTAATCTAAATTCAATTTATTTGCTAGCTAAAGGGCTATTTCGGTTCTCTATTTCATCCTCACTGGGTGGAATGCCTTCTCTTTTGTCTTCAGATTCTATCTATCCTTCCCTTCAAGACCCAGCTCAAGTCTCCCCTTCTCTGTGGAGCTTTCGCCGACCACCTCAATTCTCCTAGTACCTCTTAGGAGCACTGATACTACCATCTATAGCACTCCTATGCACACTCACATTTGTTCTGTCGTTTTTTACATAGTTGGCCTCTCTTACATAACTGTAAGCTCCCTAAAAACAGAAACTGTTTTTATCCTTTTAGTACTTAGCACAGTGCTGGTCTGTCACATGAATGATTAGAAAAGCAGTCATAGGAGGAATACCTAAGCAATTCAATACAGAATTTTTAAGTCAGGAAAATGGAGTGTTTCTAATGATCACAGTCAGCACTGGGTACCTGTTCAGAGCGTAGGAGTTAGACAGCCTGGGTTGCTAATTCCACCTCTGTCCCTGACTAACTATGCACTTTGGGTGAGTGACTTCACCTCTTTGAACCCCCGTATCCTCATTTGTAAAATAAGGACAACATCTATCTTCTCAGTTGTCATAGGATGAAACGAGGTAACTCTTGTAAAGTGCTAAGCATGATTTCTGTTGTTGTTTTATCACTAAGTCATGCCCAACTCTTTCGTGACTCCATGGACTGTATCCCGTCAAGCTCCTCGGTCCATGGGATTTTTACGGGCAAGAATACCTGAGTAGGTTGCCATTTCCTTCTCCAGGGGATCTTCCTGACCCAGGGATCGAACCTAGGTCTCTCGCATTGGCAGGTGGATTCTTTACCACTGAGACACCAGAGAAGCCCTCAAGCACAATTTCTGCTGCTGCTGCTGCTAAGTCGCTTCAGTCGTGTCTGACTCTGTGCGACCCCATAGACGGCAGCCCACCAGGCTCCCCCGTCCCTGGGATTCTCCAGGCAAGAACACTGGAGTGGGGTGCCATTGCCTTCTCCTCAGTTCAGTTCAGTCGCTCAGTCGTGTCTGACTCTTTGTGACCCCATGAATCACAGCACACCAGGCCTCCCTGTCCATCACCAACTCCCAGAGTTTACTCAAACTCATGTCCATCGAGTCAGTGATGCCATCCAGCCATCTCATCCTCTGTCGTCCCCTTCTCCTCCTGCTCCCAATCCCTCCCAGCATCAGGGTCTTTTCCTATGAGTCAGCTCTTCACATCAGGTGGCCAAAGTATTGGAGTTTCAGCTTCAGCATCAGTCCTTCCAATGAACACCCAGGACTGATCTCCTTTAGGATGGACTGGTTGGATCTCCTTGCAGTCCAAGGGACTCTCAAGAGTCTTCTCCAACACCACAGTTCAAAAGCATCAATTTTTCAGCGCTCAGCTTTCTTCACAGTCCAACTCTCACATCCATACGTGACCACTGGAAAAACCATAGCCTTGACCAGACAGACCTTTGTTAGCAAAGTAATGTCTCTGATTTTTAATGTGCTATCTAGGTTGGTTATAACTTTCCTTCCAAGGAGTAAGCGCCTTTTAATTTCATGGCTGCAATCACCATCTGCAGTGATTTTGAAGCCCCAAAAAATAAAGTCTGACACTGTCTCCACTGTTTCCCCATCTATTTCCCATGAAGTGATGGGACCAGATGCCATGATCTTAGTTTTCTGAATGTTGAGCTTTAAGCCAACTTTTTCGCTCTCCAAGCAGAGTAAATGCTTCCTAAATGTTCGCTATTATTGTTTTCATTATGCTGAGCCATACCTTCCTTGCCTGGGCACCATCATATACACCTGGGACAGAACTGCCACCCTTGGACCAGCCTGCTGATCAGCAGCTAGTCATGGTCAACGTCATGGAGATTCCTTTTGAGCCTAAGTACTGCTTTACAGGGACAGAAGTAACTTCAGTGCAGGCCAGTAAACAGAAACAGCAGCCACAAGACCGAGGCTGAATGTGTACAGTATATGAGGGGCTGCAAACCACAGAGGACTTTTCTGAGTCGTGGTCACACCCTTAAATAGTCCTGTGGTCAGCAGGGTTTTCTGAGTGCAGCGAGCCGGCTGATTTGAACTGGGCTGAGAGAGCCTCAGTGCTCCAGAAGGCTCTCTGCAAGCTGAGCATGTGCCCTGGGAGGCCAAGAAGGAAGCCCTCCCACACGGGCCCTGCTGCTCTGCGCCCATCACCCTCACTCAGCGCGCAGCCCACATCCGGGCGGCTAAACCACAGCCGGCTTCTGGCTGCCGGGCGCTACCTCTCCGCAGCGGAGGCGGAGATCTCCGCTCTGCCGAACCTCCACCTCCTCCCTCCCCTCCCCCAGCCCCGGCGGCTCCTTCTCTCCTCCGAGGGGCTTCCTTCTCCACGCATGGAAATCTGTATCCCCCCTCCCCCACATCCCAATCCCCGCCGACACACACCTCTCACCTCCTCTTTTCTTTCCGCCTCCTTCATCTGCCTTTTAAGACCTCTATTTCTGTCTCACCCGTTTTCTGAACTGACCATTCATCAGGCATTCTTTGTCATCCTTGCTGTTTTTCTCCAAAAGGGGTTAGTCAAATGATTCTTTTTCTCCCTGTCTTTCTTTCTTTCTCTCTTCCCTCCTTCCCTTCCCTCCCTCCCTTCTTTTTCTTTTCCTTCTTCATCCCTTTCCTCTCTTCCTCCTTCCCTTTCTCTATACCCACCCCCCACCACCCCCTGCCCCTCTTTGATTTATTCCCCAATGCCCTTTTCAAAGAGAGCTTCAGGTAAGGCCTGTTCCAGCTGTGGAAACAGGCAGTA